ATTTTATTTCTCTTTGAGGGCTGTTTCATTTATTCTCCCGCTTGTCAATATAGCAAGGCTATGGTAATTGTTCACAATGTAGCGAAGTTCATTGGGGAAGGGGAGGCAGTAAAGGGAGTACCAAGTGCTTCATTGCACCTCACGCTTAGTTGAGCTGCCAAGCCTGGGTGTGTGAAGAACAGCTAACAGTTCAACATTAGGTTACTTCGCAGCATATGAGCTAACTTTGGCCCCGTGCTCTAACTTGTGCGTGTTGAGGAGAAGCAAGTTCAACGCCCCCTAACTTTGCTCTGGGCTAAACTTTGAACGTTGCTCGGCTATCACTGAGAGTGTTTGTCTTTATGCTGATCTCTGCGCCTGGGTCTTGGGGCTTTATTTCTTGCCTTCTTTGCTCAGTTCTGAAAAATTTGGAGAATTTCGTGGTTGCTTTGATACACTCACTACTATTGGCGAGGGAAAATAAGATCATATGGAAGAAGTAATCCTAGGCGTCGTTCATACAGATTTGAAGAAACAGCCTGTATTTTCAAGTTCCATTAATATTAAGCGTTATTATATATACCATTCTAAATTTTGGTAGGAATTAAATGTCAATTTATTTCGGCAGGTATCCTGTAAAAATTAGGACTACCTTGAATGTATAAAGCGGTATTACGCATCTCTATAACTAAATCAATTAACATTTACTCCAGCAGTCAACTACAAACATCGAACAAATAAAATTTAAAAAATGCATGCAAGGGCAATATGAATGATTTTTCTTAGGCAACACACCACGGCTGAAAACAAATTTTTTTTTCTTGTATAATTCCCGCGCCTAAAACCCTGATTCTCCCTTTCATGCAAACCTGTTACTGTTTCTTCGTTTTTGAGGCGGTCAAACTCGACGTTTCCCCTTAAAATTGTACGCATAAAACGGAAGCTGCGTTTCCAATTTGAGCTCATTTTTTAGTCGACGTTGCGGATGCCGCTGAAAATTAATCTGACTGTCCTAATTACTTGTCTGGTGTAATTACAAAACGTTGGCCCATGTCTTCTTTCTACCATCTAATTGCATCGCGGGTGAGAGGGGCGCCCGCCATGAGACTGATGGTGACAGCATATCCTCCTTGCTGCATGATGGATGAGTAGCCGCGCTGTCTCTTTATAAGTCCACCTCTTTTTCATTGCGGAAACTCCATTTAATGTAATCTCTTTTAGTTAGAGTGAGTCACTTATCCGCATCCTTCGAATCAAAGCGTCATTTCATGTATGCACTATTTAATTTAATTTTGTTGGATAGATGAATTTCATTACGCGTGGAAATGTATTTACCTCATAATTTCAACAGATTGGTTTATAAAGTGCTTATACCAAAGTGTGTCTTCCAGCATGGCTGCGGCTACAAATCTCAGTGTCGTACGAACGTTATCAGTACAGGAGGAGCAGCTACCGTGGCACTCAATCTATTTCCCTCCTCTTGATGTTGTCTCTTTAACTCAGTTGGTTCAATGTAAGACTGTCAAGCCAATGCAATGCAAGATTTAATTCGAAACTGCAGTTCTGATGTATTGAAAATGTATTGTCATTGATTGGTGCTCATGCATCCATAGTAGTTAATGATGATGCATAGTACTATTATTCATTTCAAACATATGGCTTATGATTGAATTTGACTTTTGCATACATAAGAGCTATGAAACATAAATTATGTCAATGCTTGATATCCTATATATAAATAATTGACGACTTTATTATTCTAGAAGACAAATAAAGCAGCCCAATAAGGTCCATTTCCAAATAATGATACCAGATTGAATCCCAACAGAATACCCGAGTAATATATAAAAACTGCGTGAAGATGTAACAAATGGCCTGTGTGTGCCGAAAGAGACAGCACTCTAATTAGTAGCATATATTTCGATGTTATAACTCATGTTACTTGGCACGTAGTTGTGATGCAGGAGTGACTACGCCTGGTTGGTCCTCATGAAGGTCGCCTCAATTAAACTTGGGTCGCAGCTTTGGCCAATTCCGGATGGCGTTAATAACTCAGTCGTGATCCGGCCGAGCTTCAACTTTGCTCATTTCGGTGCGCGTTTCTGGTCAAAATAGATGAGGCATCTGAACAGACTTAACTTTGTTATCCGCAATGCCTGCTCGTTAGTCTGGTCATTGCTGGTCGTAAGCTTTGCTGCTCAGTGGTCCTGGGAATTGCTGGTTGTGTGCATTGCTGCTGAATTGGCATGGATATTGCTACTTACTGGTTGTGAGCGTTGGTGCTTAATGGTTATGGTAATTGCTGCTAGATGGTCGTGGCAATTGTTATTTACTATTTGTGAGCATTGCTGCTTAACGGTCGCGTTAACTGCTTGTTAATGGTCGTGAGTGATACTCTTGGCTGCTGGTGGATGCTGGTGGTGGTTGCGAGCATAACCTACTCTTGTTCATTAGCTTGGCGTCGTCCTGTCAGAGAAGTTCACTGTAATATGTCATCAAGTCAGATTTAATATGCCCCTTAGTTCATTTGGTTCAGGACTGGGCAGAACGTCACTGCTGATGCAATCAAGGTTCTACAGGTCATAACTACTAAGCCTGAGGGTGAACGCATTGTTTAAACTTATGGCTCAAAACTTGTACTAATAGCGAAATTGCTCGGTGGGCAATTATCGATGCAAAGTGGAGGTACCAATTTCATTGCCGCTCGTTTTTCTTCATCCTAAAACCGAGAATAAATATGAACACATTTAGAGACATCTGAAGTATGAAAAAATCGAAATCTATCAAACACAAAATTTATTTTACATCGCTTTTTAGCGCATTTATCATTTATGGAAAAAATGCACTATTGTGCTCGCCATGTCCGTCTGTCCGTCCGTCCGTGACCTCAAGTTTTCGTCGACGAGAAAATGCGTTCTCTGTCACACACTGCAGTGAGTACTGAGTTATATTTTTTTATTAATTCCCTCGACTGGAAGTATTGATGGCCAGTTCCAGTGTCATTCATAAGCAAGACGTCGTAGATTACTGATTTTACTAACGGAATAATGTTATCATTTTGTTTAACGTTTGCCGACTGATTTTAATTGATCTTGGAACCTATCAATGTTGGAGTCAATTTTGAATTTAATTTTTGGATCCATTTTGAAATATAAATTTCGAATTTCTAGCTTGCGAGCATATTTCAGGCACTTTTTACAAACCTTTGAGCTTTATATTGAGCCCGTGGAGTAGCATCATAAATTTTTGGAGTAGCTTTATATGAATTTTCGTGGAGTAGCTTCATATGAATTTGACGCCTTTATGCGTTTTTATGACTAAAACTTCCATACCACGTGGTACTGTGCTCTAGATATGTTTGTTCTTATGAACTGCCCTTGCTCATGAACGAAGTTCTGTTGGGCGATGGCGACTGTAGTAGCTGTGAAAGCTGTAAATGCTTGGTCGCACTTAGAGGAATTTTGGTCCATCCATTATTCTGAATTTCACCTATTTGAATTTTGGTTGATTTAAATCACTATAAAAATTAGATAACGATTGAAAATACCACATCAACTGTAACTACGTCAGATGCCAGTTATCATATGCCAGTTAGAATTATCGTCAGATGCCAGTTAGAATAATCGTTAGACTTAATTTACGAAGGAAATAAGGCATAATCGATTATTCATGTGTTAAGCCCTTTTTATACTGAAATAGTTTTGTTTTTTGTTATTCAGACTAGTCGTCTTACTGTACTGTAGTACCGTAAAGAATTCTCAATTGATATATAACACTATAATCTCTTATTGACAAATAAATTATTTATATATTTTCTTTCTGAGAACAATTTTCTTCGATACCGTTCGCAAAATAAGCATTATACCTGCTGAAAACCTATTTAGTTCTTTTTCAACTTTTTCAGCAATATTGCATGTTTAATTTTCGATTTCGCATCCATCGGACGCCTTGCAAGGCATTTTGATAGAAGTTCAGCCTACCCTCAACGTGAGCGTGAGCTCGAAATTTTGCGTCATCTTTCGCGGCATTATCCTTGCAATATCCTTGTCCTGTGGTCTCATTAATTATTGTTCTCTTATGCTTCCTAATTACCAGGATTGGAATCTGGTTCGCGATTGTCATTGGACGGAATGGATTGCGAGTGATGTTGATTGCCGGTGCGGCGGACGCGAATTCGTCGTCGTCATTTTTCTCTCTATATGGCCATTCCATTTGGAGCTCGCGCTCTGATTGGATTATAACGGCTCAGCTTTGCCTTTTCTCAGAATTTTTTTATGCTTGGATGTTCATTCCTGCATCGCTATGGAAACCTTGCAATGCCTTGTAATCCCAGCGCTTAAATTTGTTCAATTTTTACCCAAAAGTAAGCCACCCTACAAGCCCCTCTGCAACACTGCTCGAAATTTTGTTTCATAGTTTTAAATTTTATTTTTTCGTACATTAGAGATTCAGAATTTTTCGTGAATGGAAGGACCCAAGGTTCACCTGCAGAATAATTCTTTAAAGTTTATTAATCACTTTGAATTTTAACTGATGCATGTGTATTATTTAAAGTGATCAAAAGATTTGTGGACGCATTCTCATCAGAAAAGAATAATAAGCGATTTTTGTTCGTACTGTCGGTCTTATCACTAAAATTTCTGTCGCATCAAAACAATTATTACCTATTAATTATTGCTCCCCATTAAGATTGAACTTTTACCTCCTTATTCGGTTAGGAAAAATTTTTATGCTTGCAATTTGGAAAAAACATTACAAAAACAAGCTAGGTCAAAACTGAGACACAAGCAACGTGGTGACCTATAAGTAGTGACACAACATAAATTGATGAGGTCATATGTATATACCGGTTTGTTGCCTATCTAATTGCTTCGTGCATTGTTTTAATTGTGTCAGATACGTTAATATTCGTGATGAAAACTATTGCGTTGTTGTTAATTTAAAATTTTTTATTGTACCTCAATTAAAATTGATTTTATTGTTTTTTCTCAGGCTTCTGTATTTTTTTCTAGATTAGAACATAGCTTATCGCTAAAATGTCACATTTAAACACTTGTATTACTTCTGGTTTTTCGGAAAAAGAATAATTGCTGAAAAAATTACTAATGAAAAATTACAATTCGTGATGGATGATATAGCCACATGCTTTACAATTTATCTGTGATTGCCATTATCTCAAATAGTTAGCTTCTTGATGAATGTTATATTAATTATATCACTTCTGAAGTGGGTTGTATATAAGAAGGATGAAGTGGAAGGAGACGCTGCAGAGCGCTCGTCTGGTCGTGGAAAAGAAACTGAGTGGGGCGGAAAAGCGAGGCCAAGATGATACTTTTGTTCATGGTTTCCAACGCCCACTTCGCGATTCAAAGTGCGTCACTAAATCACTAGAAAGTCTTGACAATTATCGAACTGGCTCTTCAAAAATTACAAGTCACGATCAAATGTTCACTCGTTTTAGCCAAAGAAAAATCGTCGACGTGATCAGAATTCAAGCAGCGCTGAATCGTACAGGGTCGAACACAAAAAGAAGTTTTGCATTAGACGCTAGCGAAAAAAATGACCAAATCACGTCTGAAGACGATGATGGCGGCTTCGTTAACATCGCTTTCGTGTCTGACAGCGGCGAGAAAAGCCTGAGAAAGTTAACAGCTGCTGTTTCTGGCAGACATTCTGAAAACGGTGATTCTCGAAATCATGAAAATAATCGATTAAGAGAAAAAACTGAAGAAGAGTCTGTTGTTTGGAGCCGAAATATAATTAATTTCAGCTCTGGAGACGAAATTTGTTGCACTCTAAATAAAAGCGATTCTGAAATCAAATTAATAAGACATTTTCAGACTGAACATTTTGATGAGAATAGTTTGAACGAAATAAAATATCACCCGGACACCACTGCCTCGGAGAAAAATTCTTTTGTGAAAATGTGCAAGAGCATTGACAAAAAAATAGTAGTGAACGAAGTTAGCGAAGCATCAGCTTTGTCTTGTAGAGGCACTCGTAACCCTACACATGAAGTCCGTGGAGTTCAGGCGACCGCTGCCGCAGATTGCGGAGGAGGCTTCGTTGCGGACGACGGAGATGCACCGCCACGCAAGATGGTCATGGTCGAATTCTGCACGGTGAGTTTATAAGTGATCAAGAAAATCTCTTCATCAAATCATGTGTTCATTCAACTTTTCCTGTAAATTATAGCTGTTTCAAAATTTTTGAACGAAGCAGTTATAACTTTTACTAGTTCCAATTTAATTCGCTGTTGTATCACAGACCTTTGGAACATGGGTGATTGGTCGGACACTTGTTTTTAATGATGACTTTGAAAATTTTCCGGCTGCCTTGCATCTTTGTTGACTTCCTGCTATTTTCCGGGTCAAAAATGTATTTCAATCCATATCCTCTGACCCATTGCTGTGCACTATAATGGCTTTCATGTGAGGGACGGTTCTTGGTTTTTAGATCACAAACATAAAACTCGTGAAACGTAACTCAAGCTAGCTATTACAAGGGGTCTTGTGAGAGTAATTATAAGATTTCGCTATTAGCTATGTTATAATAATCAGTAAGAATCTCACATCTAACGTGTACTTATGATTAATGGGCTGCGTGAAGCACCTTGGTACTCCTAAATACGAACTTAATCTCTGTATAGCGGTGTCGATAAAATCAAATCTCAAGTTAATGAACGCTGCAACTCCTGCACACAACTCGTTACTTCACGATGAAAATAAAAAATCTTGGTCATAACTATGCTAAACGCCGCCGCGTTGCGTACTAATGTCATGGACGAAGTAGACACAGAGAGAACGGATTGCTGGCAAGTGTAAAAGAAACGGAACAGATCGCAATGACGTGACGAAATGGCTCCTATTCCGAGCGCAGCTTAAGGAACTAAGTTTACTTAGTTTTTAAATTCAATCTGTTGATGAGTAAAGTTCAGAAGTAGGGCTTCAATTGTACTAATATATTAAATATCACGTACGCTGATACTTATAATGCTGAAACCAAAGTATGGAAAATATCAAAATAAACAATTCCACTCGGTATCCTGTTGCTTTGATGTATCATTAGTGTGAAACTAGCAATATTTGGAAAGTTTGACCTCAATTATTGGCAATATCTTCGTGAGAGGTAGTGCCAGTTTTAACTATTCAATTTTTTTTCTCAACTAATTCTCAATCTCAATCTAATTTCAATCTCATCTAATTTCAATGTAAATTATCAAGATAGACGACATTTACTGTCGCAACGGCCATTTCCAACGGCCAACGACATTTACTGTCGCAATATGTGACCCAGGGTTAAAAGATTATTTTAATTTTGAACGCGCGAGATCACAAAGGGCAAAAAATAAAGACTTTTTAATTGAATGCTAATTTAAACGAGGCACCCAAAGTTCGTATTTTTGGAAGAAGCTCATAAATTTTTCTTTGAGTTCGCGAACTTTATTCCTTTTGATCTGCGCGTGTCAAGTTTCTGCGTAACTTTTGAGTGCTTTGTTTGGTTTCGGCAGCGCGTTTCATGGCCTTGCTTGTCTTTTATGGTCGCAACGTCTCAATTTGTTGAGCTCGAGTCCCTCGGATCAGCCGTGAGTGTCAACAAATATGGCAGCTCTACGCATACATTTTTTATGATCTCCGGTTTGATTTTAAGCAGAAAATAGTGTATTTTCCGTCACTATTCAAATTTTGTCGACTTGGTTCCATAACATGAATTTGGTCACTTAAACTATAAGACAGTTTATATTTCAAATTGAACCGTCGACAATATTTTCCATTTTTTATTGTTAAATCTTTACTGACAAACAGAGATAAAAGTAGTCACTTTAACCAGTTTGCTTATGCGCTCACGTAAATACCGGAGCACGATTAGGACTTGCAACGTCGAAACTAATCGTCGCAAAGATTGCATCGCCTGCACACGACTTCCAGTATTTTATAAGAGTGTTTTTCAGACTTCTCAATCAGCCTCTTTTAGTAATGTACGCCAAGCTTTCCCTTCCTATACTCTTTACAGTGCGTCGAGTGCCCTATAAACCGGCGTAGCATAAGTAAATACTAATACTTTCATTACGGTCACTCTCACTCAACATCGCCGCATTTGTAGGACATGCATAATCAAAATAATCATAATGCATAATCACTGCTATCCCGTGAATTACCTGCAGGCAACTCGGGTTGTACATCAGTTTCAATGCGCATGTAGTCCCGTAAATAGTCTGGTGGGTCGAACCATGGCTTTAATTGCTTGTCATGAGCTTTAAGGACTGTCTCTTGTCATTGGAAATTTCATAGCTCAGACCATTGCATTGATTTTTAGTTAGTTTATACGGGGCCTGTAAACTTCTTTCGTAATTTGTGATGTAATTGATTCCTGATTCCTGAAATTGCAAATTTTTCATTTATTTTGAACGATTTAAAATCAGCGTGAGCATCCATCCAAGTTTCCGTATAATTCGAGTCTTGAGGAATGTTAGCATCACATGAATGAGCTTTGCTCAGGATGAACTCAAAAGGAAAAAATTTAATGGATGCATGCCACGTGTTACTGTACACCATAAATGCCTTGTTAACATCGTATCCCATGATTTTGGATTCTCTTCAACTACGCCTTTGACAAATTCTATGATCGTTTTGTTTGATCATTCCACGGCCCATTTCCCTTGGGCTCTAAATCTAGTCGACAACACATGACTAATATTGTAGGCAGAAAAGCATAAGGTACTTTCAAATTAACTAGACCAAAATTCAGGACCATTATCGCTCAATATTTTTTGATAATGATGATTTTTTATCTCTATGTGGCACGGGATAGTATAAAATTATATACAAACGGTCAACGCACACTAATAATTGCCACAGTAAAACCTATGATGTGACGGGGCCAGTACCAACTGGGAAAACTTGAGACTTTATCCAATCCGCAATAACCCAACCACAGTTCATCACACTTCTTGCACATCAGCACACTAACCGACAGGAGAATAAGGACAATCAAATGCAAAACTTTCATTCAACAACGACGACAAGATAAACAGAGCGTTTGTGAGTTGAAGCGAAGTCAAGACTTCGGATCACGATTCGGAGGTCTCTCTGTATGAGATAAAACTATTACAGACACTACACGTACACAATGGGTCATGCCTTAAACTGAATCGCAAAACTAAGAAGAACTTTTCACACCTATAGCTATACGGATTGACATCACACTAATATATTACAGGTCACAATACAACACAATGATATTGATCCTATCTAAAAATATTAAGGGATTCCGTGCACAGTACGCACCTGTCCCGTATGGTGGCGCATATCGAGTGATCCTATAGAGCTTCCATTCCGCAATACAGAGTGGATCCGGCAACATCGCACGGAAGTCTAAAGCCATTTGATTAAAAAAGAATCAATATAAAAGACATCTATAAAAGTTGCATTTCTCCTCTACAATGATATATTAGCAAATCAATAGCAAGTAAGTCAAATGGATACCTAGTGTTAATTGTCACACGACCGGCACGACCCAAGAAATACGCCCTGAATAAGACATAGCCGCACTTAACGTGTTAAAGTAGGCCGGGTTACAAGCTGAGAGGAAACTTTATAAACTGACAATGTATGCAAGTGCGCGCTACATCTTATATTATATTTTTAATAAACGGGTGAAAAAAATTATTCATTGTCATTTTCCTTAACTTGTGCTTTCCATTATGCGCCATTTGTGTGTGTATCTTAAACATTATGTCAACAAGAAATTAAAAAATGGCAACACTACCACATGCTGTTCGTTCCTATCAAGCACTCACAAATCCGATACTATTTACTCTGCATTTATTCCAGTACCTCTTAATTGGCTGGGGGCTCCTCAGTGTCCTCACATGAAGTTACTCACAACCACACGTCCTATACGACCCACCGCTTAAGAGCTGCAATTAATGCATTAGTTGTTCTTCACACTGCCTGGCTCTCATGACCGTATCCTTAACATGACAAGGGCATCTTCTCCAACTCTTCAGACTCAGAGATCCGAGTCAGATCTACAGTTACGATCCCGGAGAATGAACATATTTGTCCTATGGCTTGCAATATATACACATACATTTACCGATTCTCTACAGGGACCAGACAGATTAATTCTTCCCGATTGCCCAGGTACGCCAAAATTCCCAAATTCAAAAGGAATCCTATTTGCAATTGAAAAATTAACTCCTCAAATGGCACAACATGGCACTTCATATGTTTTAACAATCACAAACAGCTCGGGAATACAAAAAAAAATTAAGACATTTCTAATCAATCTTCTACATAACCAAGAACCTCTGTCTTACCACCACTAATGCCCGATATCTAATAAGCATTGAAATTACGAATTTTCAAATATGATTGGTTCTGAATTAATAATTTTACGGTATCTTCATCTACCAGACCGACTTGTGCACCTGTTTCGATTAACGCGCAAAACTTCACTCCACTAGTCATTACAAAACATCTTGTTGGTACGTTGAACTCCCAGTTGGCCGCTTTTACACTTTGAACATTGAACAGTATGGTCCAGCGATTCTTTCTCATTGCTTCCATTCTCAACAACATTCTCATTTTCACAACAGTAATTCACACAATCTTCATTTCCTATTTCTCCAGAAAGTCTTTGTTTCTTATCAAATAACGGATTGAAATGAATTCCGGACTTATACTGTAGATTTAAAATTGCAAAGATGTTTTACCATGATCTGCTCTGTATTGGATCCATGCTGGGCCATTGGGATCCATGCTGCACATGAATTTTTATTTCAAATACGAAACTGGAATACGACCGACAATATATTACTGGAGTCCATTGGTCAGTGTCATATATAGAGCCACTAAACGCTTCCACCTCACGCGTGCAGCGTGTTCGTGTTCATTAAGAGCGATGTCACGGGCGTTTTTCATGGCTTGCTATTATCCAACGAAGGAATCTCATTTTTTATCACGCAGAGAAAATTGACTTCTCTACGAGGCGCTGGAATTGAAGTCAGACTCTTTTCGATAGATGGTAACTTACCTTAAGGCCGGAAGTCGCTGCCTTGCTATAAATTTGCATGCGTGGATCTATTACCTTAATATTTCCTCTTACATTATTGATTAGCTTTATCTATAATGACACAATCAACCTAATGTTACTCTAAACCTCTCCTGTTGAATGAAGAAGAAATATTTCAACTTAAGTTTTCCTTTTCTCTATTGTGCTTTGAAAATCAAGCCACACATTTCCAACCATTTATGCCATCGGGAACCATTCCTGCATAATATTTTTATCCAAATGTTTTCTACAGTAGAATTTCTTCAATGACTTGCAACAGAGAACAGTCTCTTTCACTGCATTAGCACGTCAACAAGACAGTTGTCTAAATTTCGTGGGATGCATAACCTATATTAAATCATTTTGAGAGTTTTCCTTCGTTTCTTGACTCCCAAATTAAGCAATGCCATGGGTGGGAGTCTCGGGAAGGCCACCTTCTTGCAATAAAGTTTCACAATCCGACGTGTGCTTTCCAATTACGCAAGGGTGATCAATATTTTTTTTAATATTCCTTGAACGTTTTCATGTATCTGAAAGTTTTTCCGCAAGTTTTAAAACCTTATTTTGATGACTATGGTTTTTATTTAGTGTTGTCTGCCACACATTTTCAGTTTTTACATATTGCTCAGTGGAAGTTTTCTAATTTCAATTTTGGCCGGTACTATTGTATTACTTTTCGTTCCAACAACATATTGGGTCATTTAAAAATAAATAAATGTTTCTTTACTGATGGCAGGATCGTCATTCATGTGATTCTCTTTCAATTATATATTATGAACTTTAATGATTTTCTGAAGGAAGTACATATGTCAGTAAGAGTCGCTGCAACATCACTCGTTTCAAATCCTGAACTTACTCACGTTTCTGGATTGTCGTTTACTAATGTTCGACTGATCAGTGTCATATTTTTACCTTACTCTTTAACACAACGCATGCAAAAACTTAATCCGTGTTTTAACTCCGAATACGCCTGTATGTCAGGGTAACCCTGTGTCATCTCGCTCTCTGCGTGCTGCGTAGCCGTGTGTGCTCAGTGCAGTCATTGCTCTAATTTATTGACCGTCTAAATTGCTTTCTGTAGGTTACGACAATATTTACGCTTACTTCTTTTGTTGGACTCTCAGCAATATTTTTTATGATACAAGTTTTCAAGTAATTTCACCATTATGCATCGATGTGATCTATGCTGAATATTAATTGTGAGTTCAACAGATAATAACAAAAGAAAATAATTGTACAAAATTGTACGTTTGCTCATCATTCTGTTTTATTGTTATTCATTTATGATGCGCATTCCAACATATCTGGACCATTCTAAAATTTTTAATGAAACAATAAAATATTTCCGTCGTATAATGGTTTGTATATTTTTAAAACTGAATCTTTCTTGCCCAAAATAACATTTCTGTTTGCCGCTGATCAGCTGGTAAACAAATTACGAATCATCTTTAATTATCTCATTCATTCAAAAATGGTTTCGTGTTGTGCTTTTTAATCTGTAACTATTGCTGAGGCTAAATTCAATATTTAAAAAAATCTATTTTAAATTTAAATTTTAAAAATTGATTTGGGTTTCCAATGTTTTAAAAAATCTCATTGAAGTTTTTTTGTAACAAGTGAAACGCTCGTATTGTTATAGTCCTTTGTAAGGATCACGTGACGCAAATACTTTAAACGCTTGCATTATTATTCTACAGTTATGGTGAATGTGCATGTAATCATGCCTATGGTTCCAAATATTAATGTATTTGAGGTTTGTTTCAGTACGGAGGATCGTTCCGAGTGGTGGGAGAAGATGGCGAAGCGCAGTCTCGGTATATCAACATGAAGCTGCACGAAATTGCTGTAAGTGATGATTGGTTAGTTTATATCTTATGTCTTCTTCCTACATTATTCTAAACTCAAATTTTATTGGCATCTGTGAAATACCACTTCAAAATTGTACATCAAAATATATAGATTAATGCGAAAATTACGCTTTCAGCATTGAAAAAATGAATAGTTGTCTCTTCAGCTTAAGCATTTTTCTAAAATTTCTATGCCCTTTGGCAAGTGGACACCGAAAAAGAAGAAATACTAATTTTTTATGCTAGAAGAAAATACCACTAATTTAAAAAATATTTATTCGTGTTTATTCTGAAAATTGAACGTCTAAATTACATTTAAAGTACGTTCACTAAAGCTCGAAATATTTGGTATTGCGTAAAATTCCATACCCAGTCAAAAGTTTCGTTCTCATCAGCTGCATGCACAGGTACGGCGTAGGCTCGCCCAGTGCGCAAGTTAGATGCTCTATGTCCGCTTTTCTTTACATTTTTAGGAGTTAGAATAAAGAGCTTCATGGATGTTCTACATATGAATGATAAAATGGGATATTTACTAAATGGCGTAGTAACATTTTCAGTTTCCATTAACTGGTAATAAAATACCACTTGACGGAATAATTTTGACCACAAAGTCGAAATTGTTTTTATATCTTCATATTGATACAGCGCTTGAAACAATAAGTCGCGAAAGTCATTATTCATTCATAACAATGCTGTGTTGAAGAGGCGGGAAAACTTTTAATACTAAATTTTAATACACTTAAAAGGCAAATATTTTCCGTTTTGAGTTTTTTCCATATCTGTCTGACTGAGACAAATGTTCATGTTGGATGAATTTTTTAAGTTAGTTGTGAAAATAATTCGTTTTCTCGATTGCTAAGGTCATGAACATTCTTTATGTCTGCCGGGAGCTCACGTGACTGCATTTTTTAGATGGCAACAACTCTTGGCAAGACCATGGAAACTATCTGTTTCGTGGCCGATTATCGAAGTGTTTGATTAAATTTTACGGACAGAGGTTGACGAAATTCAATTTTGTGCGAAGCAATCATTTGGCATATCCTTATTATCAATGCAAACAAATTTATTATGAATTTATATATGTTTGACTTATAGGGCTTGTGTCACAGTTTTCTTTCAGCTTTTGTTTCAACCCATTACATTTCTGATGCTTTTCTTTTCATGCGTATATAAAATTTTCAATGGTCACTATACCAACTATTCGATCGCTTGATCACCGAGGTATTTAAATGTTGGCATTATTGTCCGTAGATTTTATTGATATTAATGATGATCATTAATTTCACATTGCTCTCTTAATCGTTGAACTAGAATGCAAACACTCGTTATTTTCACACTCATACTCTCATTTGCTTACATTTGGAACTACATATATAACTGTTGTTATATATAAAACTAGACACTATGAGCCCATGGTTGGTGTAAATGGTTTAGTGACGCGGCTGCTCTGACGGAGAGAGGAGTGTGCAACTCAGCTGCGCTCGTTCTAACATAGTACGGACTTTTCTTATCGTCTCCATTCTGTAAGTGGTACGCAATGTAACTTGTCTCCTTTTATTATTATTTGCTGCTGCTGCGGATTAAACAATATCGTGTGTTAACTATAATTATTATTGCTTTGGGTTTTATTGAAGAAAATTCCTATTATTGTCCATTTATAATTTAGATAATGAATATTATTCCTATTATTTTTACCATTGTATAAAATATTATCATTGGAAGCTTAGATCGAGTCTGTTACATTTTCATTTCCATGCACAGTAAGAAACTGATCGTCATTACCAGTCATGCACAAACAGTCAATAAAATCTTATATTCATGCGTCTGACAACTGACGCTTGGAGAGAAATTGAATTTGGTTGCATGAACCAGACGCTGATTGAAATATGTATGAACCAAATTCGAAACTGCATTTTTTGCGAATGTTTTTTTTCATAGATTTTTGCAATGTCCCGTGTAATGTTTTATTGTATTCTATTTGAGTAAAAATAGTTAGTTGACTCTTAGAAAACTAAAAGAGTGTGGGTGGACAAATTACATATTTTGTTGATTTAGTTAATTCTATGAATAATTTATTGAGTATAACGGCCAATGAAACAGCGTCAAATATACCTCATATATACCTCGTAGCGTGCGTAAGTGTAGTTATTTTTTAGATGTTTTGTGTGTTCTATTCTGATTCACATGCAAGTTTCTGCTACTATTTTGTTGCATAGTGAGACCAAATAAATCATTTAACATATCTTAACGCAATAAATGAGCATCTAGTATCAATGTACGCTAACGTATTGAACAAATGATTGTTTATTTGCAATTTTTAATTTTAATAATTAATAATTTTTGATAAAAAATCAAAATTAAATTGTACATGTACATTGTACAACGTGCATTTCGTTCCTATTTAATTTATAGAAAAATTATAAAAAGTTCAGATTGTCAATTTTTTTAGTCATTGTTCACCGGTTTATGAAATACATTTTCAGTCTGGGATAGTTATTTGACCCAATCAAATTTCCACTCTATTTTCTTATTAATATTATTCCCGACCTAACATTTCCTTCTTTCCTGTTCATTAGTATTATTTCCTGTTATTATTACCGCGTATTAAAGATCCAGTAGTCCCATGACCGGCCACAAAAACTTGAGTGCATATTCTTGCTTGATGAAAATTACGATTAATGGCTCCACTGCAGGCTTTTATTCATCAAGTCGAGCTCTGAAGCCATCAACAAGACATTGACGGGCGAGCAAAATTGAAAATCGCTGTTGTTTTCGAGCGCCGTTATGCTATCGTCGGTGAAATTTTGCTCGATAATCTTCAATAAGCCGCGCATCGAGATGCGCAACGACGGCCTCCGGATATTGCGAGCTCGAAAAACGAGTATGGGGATTTGCTTGAGTGTACAGAAGGATTTAAGCACATGCTTTGTTGAACCCTTGTCCTGAAGGGCTCATTCGAAGACCAATAACGAAATATGAATTGAACTTTTCGTTCGGCCTAAATTTTTGCTTGTTCAAATTGAATAGATTTTAGATCATATGTGGTTACGAAAAACTAAAGCCAATAAGTTATTAATTAATTAGTTAATATTTTTAATTCGGCAATTTCAAACCTTGACTTCGTTTGATACAGTCTTACCACTTTACACCTGAATTAAAATGATACAAGTAATACTGAATTAAAATGATAATAACTATACTATAAATGAAACTCTCATTTTTAAAATACTGTACGGACTGAACTTCCTGATGATGTTTAGCACTTCTGAAAGGTAAATCAACAAATTAATCGTTCATGGCTGATTCTTCTAAGTTTCATTTTCGCATTCTACTTGCTTTCTACAAAATTTATATTGCTTGACTTACTGTATTTTCAAATAAAATGTCGCCCTTTTGTCAAAAGACAAATAATGACTTTGTCTTACCCTGTTCCAAAGCACAGACATTTAATTTTCGTGTTTAAATGTACTACTTCCCTGTTCGCCTCCAGTGCTCGTTTATCTTGTGTGAGATGCTGTTACTTTATTGCCGTCGCCGCTGACAAGCTCTGGAAAGGAGGCCTTTAAAGGAGCGTACGCCTCGTAATGCTCCTCAAAGTTGGGCTCTGGTGACCGTTTCTGTTTAGCTAGAGCCATCCAATTGCTGCCGCACTACTTCAATTTGCTTCCTAATTACATCTTCGGTCGTCCCGCGTGCTCGGGACTGCTTTCTGAGTTGTCTCAATGTTCCTGCACTATAAAGTTATGAACCAAATGTGCCTAGTTCAGAGCAAGATGTACTAATATTTCCATGCTATTTATTTTTCGTTCGTCGCAGGCAGCCTTAAAGCTCGTTCCCAACCTTTAGTGGGCGTACTACTAATGGTACGCGGAAATCATATCGGTGGTCCGAAAACATGCTGGGTTATGCAAAATTTTTAGTTATCTAATTTTTTCTCAACGAAAATATTTACTGCCTAATTAACACAAGATTTGCTGGCAACGATTTGAAACTATTGTAAGCATTCTTGGTTCCAGGGGATCATTGATATTTTCAAAAGGTACTCTTATTTAACGCTCTCATTATGGTCGCATTACGTGGAACTAAAGATAAATAATTTTGCAAAATATTGGCTTTAATGATTCATTTCAAGCATCGGGTAGCTGGTGCATTGATATTTTCATAAGGTACTCTTATTCAACGCTCTCATTATTGTCGCATTATGAGGAACTAAAGATAATTATTATTGCAAAATATTGGCTTTAATGATTCATTTCAAGCGGCGGGTAGCGGATGGCACGCTAGTTGTGCGCGGCACTGAACGGAACTTATCACTAAGAAGTTTAGAACCGCACGCGCCTGACGCCTGATGTAATTGAAAAAGAAACAAAACCTCATTTTAAAACCTATACTTCGGTGCCTCATTATGTGTGCAATGAAAACTAAGAAAATGTAATTTTACGATTAATCGGGACATGTGAAGAAATCTCAACATTCATGTCTCATGAAGATTTGATTTATCTGTTGTTCTGATTATTCTATTCAAAATCGATACAAATACATTTTGTTGATTTTTATACGAAATCTAGAATTTTAATTGCGATTAACATCCTAGTTTTTAGCGACATTTTCCTGCTGCGTTGCCTCTCATCTTCATTCAAGGAAACACTGTCGGAATAAATTTTTCATCTGTGACGAAGAAGAGAACATTTTTCAATCTCTCTTACAAAGCCTGTCTAATAACCACTCCGTACCTCTGCAAAACTCCCATTGTTTTGCAAGGCGTGAACTTTATCAAGCACAAAGCCGAGGAATCGAGCAGATACAAAACTATCGTTAACGAATGGCGCCATAATATTTGAATGCCCCTTCGAATATCTTGGCCGGACCTGATACACGATATTGCCCACGCAAAACTTTGACCGTGTCGCTTCCGTTGTTTTGCTGCCTGGGCGCGCTCGTAATCAACTCTTACTTTCTTTAAAAGTTTTTCCGTCAGACGCCTTGGAATCATACAGC